TTCCCATTGGAATACCAATGATTTGCTTTCGAAGAGTGCCATCTCTAGTGAACAGAAAAATGTTTTCTACAACAAAGCGAAGATGTTGGAGAATCTGAGAAACGGAAAGGCTGTCTGGTCCTGAATCGGTTGTCCATTGGCCAGAGCAAGGCCCGCGAATGATATATATATATATATATATATATCTGTTTGTGACGATATATATATAGTTTATTTTTTTTCTTACAAGTGGACTGGTTGCTAGACTCAAGGCAAATCGAATATGTCACACTATTTGGACCAGCCCAGCCGCAGCGACACCAGGATGAGGGAGGTACCAATCACCAGGACAACTCAGCAAGCAATACAGGTCTTAGGGGGGATGCACTTCACTTCAGTGAACGTTCCATAGATGAAGCTCCTCAATCACTCCAATGCTCCAACGCAGCAGCAGGTACATAATCACCACTCAACAAGCCACTTCTTCTTCAGCCTACCCCCTTCCTTCATCAGATATTCTCCCCACTCAATTCTCTCACTTATCTCCCCTTCTCGTCGGCCTAATCGTTGCGAGCGATATCCAGTGGATGCAGCGATCTTCTGCTTTGATACCAGTTTGCAATGAACCTCTCAGTTCACCACCAGTGCGCACACACAATCACACACCATGCATGAATGAGGTCACACGGAGTTCACACTAGAGGCCGGAGAGATGAAGACCAGGTAACGCAGCTTTAGAATCCCAACAAATTATCATACAAGCAATTAAGAGTTCCAGTCACAAACGCTCAACAGTGCTGACCCAAGTAAACAGTGTCTTCACTCAAGTAAGTATGCCTCTCAATGCTCTTCTCTCCTCCTCTCTCAGTCTTCTCTCTGTCTACTGCCTCCCTGTAATTCCTCTCCCTACTTGTATGCACTCACACACCGTCTACTACTCAAGGACCGACTCTGAATACACCCACTGCTTAACTCTACTAACCCCTCTGATGTCTACTACTAACTACTAGCACTGGTGCAGCTATGGCTGCCTTCCCTCTGCCAGCACTGGGCAGCTTTCGCTCCTCTCTCTCTCTCTCTCTCTCTCTCTCTCTCTCTCTCTCTCTCTCTCTCTCTCTGTATTAGCACAGCTCCCTGGCTCAGCACTTTGCCCCTCACAATAGCGCACAAGTGCACCAGCACTTCCACACTTCATGTGAATGAGCAATCTGCCCAATGAGGAGGCTGGCCAGTCCTTATATTGTCTTGGACCGAACTTCAACTCGTGCCAGCCTCTGCTTCTTGAGACTTGACTTGGTTCCGTACCAAATCCCCACGGTCTATTTTGCTTTTGAATGCCAGGGCCTGGTACCTTTCCCGAATTTTCATTGGTGTGCTGCTGCTTGGGCCTTTGAGTCACAACTTTTCGATTGTGGCACATGGCTTTTGACTGTGGTTTGTGACTCCTGCCTCAGGGACACAACTCTTACCTGTGAAGTGTCCTTGCCCGTGGGATATGACTTTCCAATATGACTTTTCATTATGAGATGTGATTTTACCCCCGAGATGTGACTGTTTGCCGGGTGCCTATTGGACTTGACTACTAAGGTACCCAACTGTGACTTTTCTGAAACTGACCGACTTGGCCTTTCTTGGCCCAGGCCTCTGACCCTGAAACTCGAATTTGGGGTCTAAATCATGGAAGGCCTTTCAAATGATGGTTTTCTTAAGTAATCCACTTTTGGCCAAGGGTTGTTTTGGAATTTTCAACGAAACTCATGAAAGAATCGAAACCAAAATCATAAACTCTAATACTTTTTTAGGGCACCCCCCGAACGGGATGGTAATTTGCAACCACATTCAAGCAAAACAAAACAAGAGAAAACGAAAAAAAAAAAGAAGTATCAGTTGTGGGGCAATCATTAATGCTGTCGCCACTGAATCGCCCTGATTTTCTCTGCCGTGCACAAAGTCTGTGTTTTCCGTTGCCTCAAGAGCGGATCCTTGGTTTGAGAACCAAGGGTTGTAACACCGGGTTGCTCTAAACGCAACCAGGGTTAAGGTGGATTATGACTTACGGAGTCATCGGCTATGGGACTCTGTAGACTGTGGAGGGTTCAGCCTCCTGATGAGTTGGTGAAACTCCTACAAAACGGTCTGTCATAAGCCCCCATTTGTTGTACTTTTCTCCCTTTCCGCCTACAGTTCACCGAGCAGGTCTCCATGACTACAGACGATATATAGTCGTAGAGAAACTGCCCAGTGAGCCGTAGGCAGGAAGGGGCGAAAAGGATCAGTAACGGGGGCTGTGACAGCTGTTGTGTCAGAGTTTCACAAACTCATCAGGAGGGTGAACTAACCGATGATACAGCAAGTCATTATCCACCTTGACCCCCGTTGGTTGAGCATTAATGACTACCCCACAACTGATACCCTGAAGTGGTTACCAACCACTGCCCTCAAGGGTACCTGTGACGAAAATTCAAGCAGACTATCACTCACTCACACCAAACGGGAGACTCTACAGACTGCAGGTTCACACCCCATCATAAGCCAGCAAACCAACATGAGCACAACCCCTCATTTGTTGTCCTTCTCTCCCTTTCTGCCCAGAGTTCACCGGGCAGTTCTCTATGAGAATACATATAAGAACTGCACAGGAAAAGCCAAAAGAACGGTTTCAGTTCACGTTAACTGCTTTTTTCATTTGTTTCCCAAAGTGCGCTCTTTTAGCTCATATAACAATGTGTCCAAATATATACAGATGTAGATATAGATATAGATATAGATGTTAAGGTGTGACTTAAATATCACTCGTTAGGGGTGAAAGGCCTTTCACAATTCGGACCCCAAATTCGAGTTTCAGGGTCAAAGGCCTGGGCCAAGGAAGGCCAAGTCGGTCAGTCTCACGAAGTCACAGTCGGGTACCTTAGGGGTCAAGTCCAACAGGCACCCGGCGAACAGTCACATCTCAGGGGCAAAAATCACGCCTCGTAATGAAAAGTCATATTGGAAAGTCACATCTCATGGGCAAAAGACACTTCCACAGGCAAAAGTCGTGTCCCAGAGTGTAGCATATCAGAAAGTGAAATGCACTGAAAGCCTAGGATCTAGCAATGACGAAAGTGGCAACAACCAGCAGCATAGGTGCAACATTCACAAGGTGTCAATGTGGACGATGCAAAGAGTGAAACAATGAGAAATCAACAACAACACATTCGTATCATTATCATCATAGGCTGGGAAGCAGCGCAGCGGAAGATTTAGTATCAAGGGGACACGTGGACAACAACAT